TAAAAAAGAACTTACATGGATGTCATTTTCATTCCAAAGATGAGGCTGATGACACTATAAATGCACCTTTTTTCATTGATTCTAAGAAATGAATGGCTTGAGGCATTTAACTCCTTAAAGAACACAGGTATATAAAATATATTGTTGTCAATTTTTTAACCATATTAAAAATGCTAATTTTTATACACCAAAAGCTGTAATCATACGTTTCTAGTGTTTCCTTTTGATTCTAAATGGCATATACCTCAATCCAAGGAATCATATTTGAAGATTCATAAATTCTATTGGAGGGGAAGAAAAAATTCAAAATCTGCAAATATATGAATGTACACATTCTGAATCTTTCATATTTACTGCACTGCAGTCAGAACTGATAATTAAAAGATTATTTATACGATTTAAAGACCGGTATATAAAATCTACCGGTGCCCATACTGACGGTACCATGCCAATAGATAGCAGCACCAGGCTTCTCCTTTTCTACTCTGTGAGATGACAGAATTTTTTTATATTATAACATTTTATAACGTAATCATTTGTTTATGATTAATTTAAAGTTGTTTAGGATTCAATATTATGTTCATGGGGATTTACTGATCCTGCACTGAGAATGGATAAAATTATTTTAGTTTTATTTTATTTTTTGCTTACTCCAGTTGTGTTTCTCATTGATCTCTGTTTAGGCAAAATTTTAATTTCACCTAAACAGTGTCTTTACCCGGATAAAGACATATCGATTTCAAAATTGCCATCTAGGGTCAAACCGTTACACAACTGTAAGGGTTAAATGTGGCATGTTAGACCCAAAAGGCAGCCATAGCTTTGTATTTTCTAAAATCCTAGAATGCAGCCAAAATGGCAAGAGGTGATTGACAGCTAATTTGCAATGCTATCTTCACAAAGAGGCTGTGATAATATCACACAAAAGGAAAGCTCACTTACAAACAGGTAAAACAGAAATGCACTTTAGGCAAGTCTCTTAGTGGAACAGAAAAAGTGCTGATTTGAAAGCATACTTTTATGCTTTAGGGCAGTCTTTCCCAAAGTGGGCGATAACGCCCCCTTGTGGGCGTTTGAGACCTAGAGGAAGCGTTAAGGGGCCCAGAAAAAAAATGGGGGCTGCTGACGTGGGTTAGGGAAGCGATGGTAGATTTGTAATTTGGTTTACTTTATATTTTAAATTTTACTAGAATTAAAACCTACCTACTACACAATAACGAATACTTAGTTTATATTTCTACCCTGTATGATGGTATAAAAACTTAAAATACTTAACATAGATTTTGTAGGATAGCCCGTACACTGTATGCGCGTACGTTGTAAAATGACGAAAAGCATATAGCTGTGTAAATGCATGAATCGCCAAATATGGCAAACATTCCAAGGGAAAAAACTAACTGCGGGAGCCGGTGCACTTATGATATTGTGCTCCGTAGACGTACTGTCCGTTTTCGTATGGAGAAACCTTCAGCGCTTTTACACATGCGTCAGGTCTGCTTCGAGTACATCAAAATAGGGTTGAGACAAAAGAGAAATGTTTACTTACCATGCGTGCTTCAGTAAAACCGGTCTGAGGAAAAAGTCCATCTCAGCGCATCGCCCCTTTTCAGAATAGAATCATCCATCCCATTAGATTAGTTTAAAAACTAAAATTGATTACCTATCTATATTGTTTCTTTTAATTTGATTAAATATATTATTAATATTATAAAGTGCGTTTTTTTTGCTCTCATGGTAAAAATTTTTAGTTTAGAATGTAAGTTTAAACACCAGAACCGACTAATATAGCACACTATAACTAAATTAATGTAATGAAATTGTGGTTTTTAAGTTTTAGGAGTGTATAAAAAGTGCAGGGCGATGAAAAATAATTGATTTTCAAAGGGGGCGGTAGAATAAATAAGTTTGAGAAACACTGCTTTAGGGTAACAGAAAAAGTGCTGATTTGAAAGCATACTTTTATGCTTTAGGGTATCGTTTTTGTTAATTTCAGATGAGAAACTAGGAATCAGAAGAAAAAATTTTCCCTTGGGTTAGGATACAAGTACCTGGTTTTCAGAAGAAGTCTTCACAGTTGGTGACAGCAGGGAAAATATTTCCAAAGCCAGTTTTAAATGCAAAACATTTATCTCTCAAAGGGGAGGGGGAAAAAGGGGGAAAGCAATTATATGAGTTTTTTTTTTAAATCTTGATCGAAATAAGGGCTTTGAGTTGTATCAAAAAATAAAATAATTTAACAGCTTTTCTTTCCAAACAAAATGATATATTTTAACCTACATTTACCAAAAACAAAATTGAATTTAAATCACTTCCAAAAGATTTTCACCCATATTTTACATAAGTATATTCACCTGGGTGGCATCATCAAAGTGCATAAAGATCAAAAACAAAGTCCAACATTAAGAATCAGCGTAATGTTGGACTTTGTTTTTGATTGTTATTCAGGATGACATTTAAACTTAATTCCATAAAGATGTCAATTTTATCTTTAAAATTGTAAATTTCTAACAAAATTAAAAACGTTTTTGACTTCAAACTTAACATAACTATATTCAAACACCCATCTCTATATACACACATCAAAAGTATGCAAAAATAAGCAGGGGAAAAAAAAAAAAAAAAACTGGCAGCTATCTGTGGGGGAGGGGTATGTCATAAAGGGGCACCGGTATATAATATATACTGGCCCTCAAAATTAAGGGGCTCTAGATTTTTTTGTTAAGTCTCAATTTTGTATTCTTAGGGTTCATGAGTTACAATTTATGCAAAATTTATCACAATTTAATTATTTTATATACTGCCCCTCAAAGGATTAAGCTTTGGAAAATCTGCCTACAGAAGTGCATTGATGCTGAAGGAGACTAACCTGAACACTCCTAAAATTTCGTTAAGTATAAATAATAATAATAAAAAAACTATGTATATCTAAAAAATTTCAGAGTAATCCTTGTAACTAAATTAAATAATTTATCTAACCAAACTTAGCAATAAAAATTAATGAGGAATTTTTTGTTTCCATCGTAATTGTAAACTATACTTCATTTTTCAACCTTACCTGAAGTATAACAATGTAGTTACTAATTTAAGAAAGTGGAAATTAAATAGAATTTTACCTAACTCTTAAAAATTTAGCTTTTCATAAAACTATTTCATTATTACTTATATACTTTACACTCATTTACAAAACTAAAATTGTAGAACTTTTTAGTGTGATAGACACAGGCAAGCTCTTTTTATAGGGGACATATACAAGATCTTTCAGCATTAGTCTTCAGCTTTTCCTTCAGTAATAAACTGTTTATAATAAAATAAAATCCAAGAATTCCATTTATTAGAAGAGGGGCTCAGCTGTAGTTTTGTAAAATAAGAAAGGCTGTTTACCAGCTATATGGCAAACTTTATGGATATGGAGATACTCTGAATTCCCATAATTCTTTTTTCAGTATCATAAAGTTACAACCAATCTTTTCTCCTTTATGTGGATATAATCCGAAATTCTACCTAAGCTTATTCATCATTTCATTCTCTTAATTACCAATATTTAATTACTTGAAAGTTTGCTCACGGACAATTATAAAAGATACATATTTTTTTAAAAATAATGAAAAACTAAATAAATGTGATAACCTATAAACATTTAAAAAACAAAACTTGAAAAACATACAAAATAAAAATCAACAAACTATTCAAACAGCTGTTAACACACAGCTTAAAAAAAAGGAGGAGATTAAATAATATATTTAACAATCTTCCATTTGAAGAAATACACACAATTAAAAAAAGCTACATATATATTGAGGGGGGATTTTGCATTTCTTCCCTGAGACACACATGGTAAAAATTCATAACATACAAATAAGCATTCATTTTATTTGTACGTAATTTGAAGGTAGCTATATTTAGTATAAACACTCTCAATACATATATATATAATACATCACAGCTGCCAAATTTGAAATCTTAAACTGGGAGATTCTTGCTGTATGGTGGCATTATTCCAAAGAAACTTCAAACTGACTTTTTAATGCACAATTCAAGTTACTGACCTGTTTGTAATTCAATTCAGGTGTAAAATAAATTAGCACTCAAATGATATTCTAAATTTTAAGGTTTTTTGATTAATTTCCCTTCATAATTTTCTTACACTTTTATACCAACAAAATTCCAAGTAATGAAGGAAACTTGTTGAAGTACTTTTAGTTACGATGAAAATAAAATGAATAATTAATATGCATAGTATTTTGGGTGGATGAACTTGGTAATGAACCACATGCTGAAGTAAACAAAATTAAATATAAACACTGCTTGAATTTTATAAAAATGTACAAACATCTATAGTATATTAAGACAAATCAGATCAATATTGCTGGGTAACATTTTCTTTTGTAAAGGCTAAAAATGGGGAGATTCGTTGATCTTTTGGGAGATGTGATGGGAAACCAGAAGAGGTGGCAGCTATGATATATATTATTTCTGCTGGCTTTGAAATATGGGAAAGTGGGAGTTTTCATTGGGGAGGGGAGCTTTGGGAAAGTTTTTATGCTGCACAGTGACACCATATTTAAAAAGATTCCAAACTGACTTAAATTATTCATTTTCTAACATGACTCAGCTTTCTGAAATTTCTGTAATATGGAATTTATTATTATTTAATTAGATGTTTAATATTTTATGTTATTTGGTTAATTTTATTTTGTACTTTCCAAATGGGAATATCTTAAGTAAGGAAGGCTTCTAATATTTAATCATTATTAAGTACTTTTAAATAAGATAAAAATAAAATAATTAATGTACATACCCCTATGAGGAGAAACTTAATTGTGTATCACATATTAATTTAAAATGAAAAGAAATACAGACATTAACTGATTAAACATTAGTTTAGAAAGTTCCACAGATGCCTACAGTACATGAAGACAACTATGATTGAAACAAATTTAGTAAGATGCTGAAAATCACAAGGCAGTGCGCTAATGAAATTTCCACAATTCAGTTTCAAATTCGACAAATTTAATTTATTGGCAGGAAACAGTTTCCTAAGTAAAATCTAGAAATTCAAAACAGAGAGATTTGGTAATCTACCAAGAGATAATACAAAGAAATGGAAGTCTTTTGATAAAAACTGAAGTGTTGGCAACTATGATATATATAAAGGATGAAGTATTCAAATCATTTTTAACTTTGCTCACAACAACTTTTATGAATATACTTACAGACAATAAACAATAACCCTAGTCAAATTTACTGTTTTGATAGCTAAATTATTCAACACCAATATATTTTTTGCACAAAAATTAAAATACTGCTAACAGAATACTTTTATTTTTTTCCAGATGCCAAGTGAATTTTTGTGGCCATTCTAATTTTTTGTGTATTCAGTCATGGCTAAGCACCCTATGGCTGCCTGTCTTTGACATTCTTTCATTCACTTTACCAAGGTAAGAGAAATTACTGATGAAAATGATTAAAATATTTAGTGATGATTTAGTAACAACGAAGGTACCAAATGTATCACATTGGTCCCATAATTTAGCCAGATGATAATCCATGCTTGCTTGGACAAGAATCGTAAAATATGATTTGCAAATGATACTTTTAATGGACTCATGCAATTTTCAGATACATTTACAATGAGCTTTGTAAAATGCAAAGATCATCTGCTTTGGATATATAATATGTATATAACAATACAGTTAACAGTCTGCTATGAACAGAACAGCACAATTAGTACTTTGCACCCATATACACAGCACAAACATCATGGTCAGAGTATCTGAGGAGCTTCGCATGTTTATAAATTTCATTTGCTGCAGCAGCAAGAGGCAAAGGTTGCTCAAGATGATGGCCCATCATTAGGGCTAAATTCAAATCTTTCTGCATATGTTTCAAAGGTGTATTAGTCGAAAAATCTCGAACAAGTATTGAGTGACCTTTGTCCAGCATTGCTTCACTATTTAAGCTTCCCAATGAAAGGATTTCCAAAAAGTCATCCTGTGAAAGTTTTGCTCTTTCTACTAAAGCCATAGCTTCTGACAGTGCTGCATATGTTGTTCCAAGGAGCATGCTAAGAACAAGATTCATCTTTGAACCATTTCCTACTTCACAACTAATATAATATGCATGATTTCCCATTGCATGAAAGCAAGTTTCACAATCTCCAAATAAGGATCTGTCCCCAGCAGCTAGAATAAATAAGGTGCCTTCTTCTGCTTGTCTCTTTGAACCATTAACTGGGGCTTCAAGATATTTGCCTCCATTAGTGGTTATTGCTTCAGCTATATCCCGAGATGTGTCAGGATCAATGGAAGTCATTTCCACATATCCTTTCCCACCTACACCACAACTTTCCAAAGCCTTCAATACACCACAGTTTCCAAACACCAATGATTTTGCTGCTTCTGGATCAGAAACACAGCAGAATGTTATATCAGAGGCTGTAACAACATCAGCCGGAGTCATACCTCTTTGTGCACCAGCTCTTGCAAAGTTTTCCACTTTTCCTGGACTTCGATTCCAAACTGTTACCTGATGTCCTGAATTTAATAAGTTCTTAACAATGCCTCTTCCCATTATACCCAACCCCAAGAAACCAATTTTTTTATCTGTAGGCTTGACATGCTTTGTCTTCAAGGTTTCACTGACAGTTTCAATATCTAGCAGAGGAGTAGCTGGTCGTTCGACATAGGGTGGCCTGCCTAAAATTGACGGAGGCTGATGCAAGTGAGAATCATCATCATAGGAGGGAATATGGGAATATGTCATGTTGGGTGGAACACTAGCCAAAAGTGCAGAATATTCATCAGTATTATTAATCCTGCTTCTCTTAGGAGATACAGAAGCTTCATTATTCTCATCATCAGATTCATGGGCTGAAGGACGCTTCTTGGGTGTTCTCTTTTCTATATTTATCACTTTAACCTTTTTGGAAAGTTGAACTTTTTTCACTACTTTATTTTCACGCTTTTTTGCAACATTATTGACAAGCTGAGTTGACTTGTTTTTAGGGGAATCTTTCTCGACCTGAATATCTGTTTTATCAGCTTTATGTGTGGATGGCTTATCTTTCTTAAAATTGTGTTTACTGTAATTTAAAATTGCTTCAACAGCTTTCTGCAGTGCAGCTGAACGTTTTTTACCACCAGTCTCCAGCATACTGTCTGTATGTGGTACAATGTTATCATCCATTATCCATGCATGATTGTCTGAACCAAAAAAATAAACATAATGGTGCTCTTTCTTTGGTTTGCTAGATTTTGCATCTGCTGGAGGTTCAATTATTTTGGCTGGCCATGCTGGAAAGCCTTTCATTTTGGCCCAAACAAGATCTCCCACTTCGAGATTTTTCGCTACCATTTTGAGAAGTAGATGATGTTAAGTCTTGCTTCAGCTGTTCAGAAAATGCTACAAGCTAAAAATTAAAGCATAAAAAAATTAATTAATATGCATAAAGTTTATTTTTGCACATAGAAACTCAGTACTTCTAAGAACCATATAAGCAAATGGGAACTGAATAAATTTAAATTAATTACCTATGTTCGAATTTCACTTTTATAATATCATTCTACAAATAAAACAGATTTGTAACAAAGAATACATTTTTATGAAACATAACCTAATAATTAACAAAATTATAAAAACAAATTTGAGAAAATCGACATTGTAAAGCTTATAAAGTAATTAGCATTAAATTACAAAATTTTCTGAAACATTTATATTTCATGCTTATAAGTCAAGATACTTTAAAGGTAAATGATATTTTATTTATGTTTTACTAACAACTTTATATTGATTCTTTCTTCTGCCCTCATGTACTTTCTCAGTCTACAGCTTTATTAAATAGTAAACAAATTTTATGTCAAGCAGCATAGGTTAAAACAGTGGTCTCTAACAGATGTTATTAAAATATTTTTGCTGAAAACAACCCCCCCCCCAAAAAAAAACAGTGTCGGAAAAGAAGAAACAGCAAAAGAGTAATGGGCAATTCACCAACCTCATTCATGTGTCATGTGCATGAAAGCTAGAAATCCATCCATACTCAAGATAGGATTACAACATCATGTCTCACTTTCGTGTTTGAGTTGAAGGAAACACTATACAAGTGCTCGATTCATCTCGGTGAAAGGTAAGATTTGGTAAACAGAAGATTTCCTGCATAGTAGTGAAGTAGCATCTCGTAGTATGTCTGTTAGTAGTGCATGCGAGAACTACTTTGATACGAACCATGAAAGACTTTGCTCTTACTACACTTATAAAGTAACATTGGGGTAAATTCCAAAACTGCAATAAATTATTTTTATTTGATATGAAATAATATCCCTTTTAGACAGATAAATATATAACTGGGTTGAAAACAAAACTGACTGAAGGAAAGGAAGTTGGTACAAGTAAATGTCATGTCAATAAGTAGCAGTTATACAATTATGCAAAATTGTCTTAAATACAGAACATATGATCCAACACGCTTATCATCAAGATTTACATGTAAGGTTACTAATGGCCAAGAATGATGAATGTGTATGCTCTGTATAAATATTTTGCCAGCACACAGCATGAAACCCAATAAAATACACGCAGATCATATTGGCAAGACAAGAGAAATTTTAGAAATTAAGTACTTTTAAGTACCATTAATGATAAAAAATTATGGGCCTATAGCAAATGGGAACTGAATAAATTCAATCAAAAATATTAACTATGCCTGAACTTCATTTTTGTAATACTATCCTAAAAACAACACAGATCCGTAAGTAGGATGAATCCGTAAGATGGATTAAACATGAATTAATAAACAAATTATTAATAAGTTTGAGAATAAAATCGACTTTATAAAATGTATCCCGTATTTACACTTTATAATAGTTGGATATAATTTGAAAGAAGACAAGTGACATTTCATTTATGTTTTACTAACAATTAGCTTTTAAGTTGAGATTCTTTTATGCTTCATTTTGTAACATACTTGCTCAGACTTGAGGTTTAGTAAATAGCAGGTCAAGCGGTGTGGATTAAAATGGGAAGCAAGATCATAATCAGGATGATTTATAATAAAAGACTGGATGTTGGCACTACTGCAGCTCGCCTAGAGAGAGACCTGCTGATAAGAACAGACCTGATAGGCCTGATGTTGCAAAGTTGGCAAGTTTTGAAAGTTAGTTACGCTCTGTCTGATGCAGTTAATGTCGTAGCTATATGTAGAGTTCCAGGGATTGTAACCCAGTTAATATACTTTGAGGTTCCAATAAGACATTAAGCACCACAGGTGACAAGTAGTTTTATATTATTTAAAGTGTCACCAGATGCAAAGAATAAGTTTTACATTTTTGTGTTTTATCTTGTGACCATGGTAAGGATTAATGAAAGGCTATAACTTGCTTTAATATACAGAGATAATCTTTAAGGGTGAGCAGTTAGTTATAACTAATTAAATTAGGAAGTTAGATAACCTTAGTCAGTATGGATTTACATGGTCACTATTAATTTTACTTATTTTTAACAATATTTGTTAAAAAAAAAGCCCAATTAAAAATAACTATCTAATAAAATTGTAATTTAATGACATTCATTCTTAAACAATTTTAAGATAAATTCCACATTAAAAGCTACAAAACATTTATGCTTTGTAACAACAACACGCATAAAATTATTTATGTGTCTTTTTAATTTGAAGCCTTCCCAGATATTTTGACTAATTTATATCGATTTCCTTCTCTTTAAGCATGTTTTCTAACAATGAGAGACCTGTCTCAATATGCAAACCAATGCTTTGACTAGTTTCTGCATGCTTTATCTCCTAACTTATCAACCACTCCACAATGTACCTATGAGGGTTTACTGATCTGGTAAAAGTTAAATAGTCCTAAACCGCAGGCAGACGTAAATTATTGCTATATCTGAAAGCAAATACAATATCAAACAAAGGTTTAAATACGCCTCTTATTAAAAAAATTAGAACATAAAGGCATGTTCTGATGCTAACAAAATCAATTACAACTCACGGTGACGTAATTAAACAAGAGCAGTCAAATTCAAACTGAAAATGTGGACTAGTGGTCAAAGACTACAGAATTTTAATTTAAGCTGGCTCAGTAACTCTATGATATGAGGAAACAGATGTGAGGAAATACAGTAAAGGCTGAAATCATAAACAACTGGGTAATTTACATAATAATAACTGTATTTTTGAAGAATAATTTTCATTATGTATTGTTTCTTTCTTAAACACATTTCATTTTAGAATTTTTGAATTTAATTAAGGATTTCTGTTATTCTAAAAAAACTAAATGCATTTAGCATGTATAGAAGAAGCTGCTAATTTTATTTCTTTAGTTATATAAACATTCAGAAGAATTATAAAATATATGTGGTAAGGGCTGGTGTGGCAGAATTTTTAGAATTTAGTGACATACAGAGCAACAAAATCTAGAAATGCCATAACTTTTAGAATTTAGAGCAGGAATTGGAAGCAGAATTTAGAAAGGCACTAGGCAGCAGAATGTAGGATCCACAGAGATTACATCAGGTGGGAAAATGCCTAGCGCCAGTTCTGTGGATGATGCATTAAGGCATATTATATGAATCATTTAAATTGTCAGTTTTCAATTTCTTTCTAATAAAAATATTTCTTTCTATAATGCCTGTGCATGTGATAAGATTAGAAGCATTTTTGATATTCTTCATATTTGTGTCTAGTGAAAAGTACAGAAAATAAAGGGAAGATAAACATGTAAAAAAAAAGATTCTAGCATCAGAAGTAAGTATTCAAATATTATGTTTTTATTGTTCTCCCAGACGTTCTCCAAAAAGTAAGAAATTCATTGTTCTTTCAGACATTCTCCAAAATGTAAAAAAATTATGTGTTAATACTATGGAGATATTTTTCACTTTGTCATACATTTCTGGAATCTTCTAGAATCACAGGTCTATAAATTTTGCCTTGAAATGTTTCTAAACTTTCCAAGCTGCAATGTGCCTAAAATCCTAAAGAACAAACTATCCCCTACCAATTCTGTTAACAGCAAAAAGACCAGAAATATTTTGAGGGGGGAAAGAGGGGGGTTGCTTTTGAGTAAAAAAGTGTTTTTCATAAATTTGCTTTAGACCAAATTATACCCCTTGGATTATTTTTTACAGATTCAAACTATTGCATAAGATGCCAAAATGGAACTTGTCAGGAATACGAGGTAGCAAAAATAAATAATGTTTAAATTCCTAATAGTGAAACAATTAAATATTATTACCATTATTAAAATAATTCAATGAATTAATGCTTATCAAATGTTACAATGTTTAAAAAAAAATCGTTGGAAAATTCCCAGATCTCGGAATTAATAATTTTCTATAAAAACTGATCTTAAAATCGCCAAAATTTTGATAAGTCACTAAATCACTCACATAATTGCTCTTTATTTCATAATTTTAATTGTATAATTTCTGCATGCTATCTTACCAGATTTAAATTGATGATCTATAACCCGGAAAAACCCCTAATCCGGAATCGCCGAAGTCCCGATGAGTCCGGATTACGGACTTTGTACTATATAAGTTTGTGAATCGGGGGTGGTGGTGGGGAAATAAAGCATCCAAAATGTTAATTCACACTTAAAATGGCAGTAATAAAAACAGACAGAAATTCCAAATGATTAAAATTAAGGACCTTCTGCCAATTTTGGCTGAAATTATGGAGTTTTAAGGACCAAAATTCGATTTAAAAAAATCTAAGGACTCTTAATGACAATACGAACCCTGTTAGAGATTTTTAATAAACAACAAAAATGCTTTTAAAGATCATGCATGTAACTTCAAAAGCCGCTTAGTAATAGAACTCACATTACCAGAAGTGAAAAGTTGTTTAAGAGCTCTTCAGTAGAAAAAATGAATTTCAAAATGCATGTTTCATTTCTTGCTTAGAAACTCTAGTATCTTACCATTTGTATTAGAAATGGGTAAAAATTATAACCTATTAACCCATTCAAAAGATATCTATACAGTACAAAGTCCATAATCCAGAATGATCTACAATTCGGACCTCAAAGCAACAAACTTACGCCTGCACGTAAAGCCAGTAAAGTGTTTACACATGCGTGCTTCCGATAGTGAAGAAAGTGACAGAGAGGTTATTGAAAATGACAGTGGAACTTTGTAACTGAACAAGAAATTATGTCTGTTTATAGAAGAGAGAATTAAAGAGAAAGTATTAGCACAAAAAACGAAACAACTTCAACAACTTACATTGAAAGAAATGTTTAATAAAGTAAAGAAATAAATATTAAGCTTTTTTTTTTTTTTTCTTTTTGTTTTGTAAATTTTGATACCCTTTAGATCATAATTTTAATTGTATAATTTCTGCATGCCATCTTACCAGATTTAAATTGATGATCTATAACCCGGAAAAAACCTCTAATCCGGAATCGCCGAAGTCCTGATGAGTCCGGACTACGGACTTTGTACTGTATAAGTTTGTGAATCGGGGGTGGTGGTGGGGAAATAAAGCATCCAAAATGTTAATTCACACTCAAAATGGCAGTAATAAAAACAGACAGAAATTCCAAATGATTAAAATTAAGGAACATCTGCCAATTTTGGCTGAAATTATGAAGTTTTAAGGACCAAAATTTGATTTAAAAAAAACCTAAGGACTCTTAATGACAATACGAACCCTGTTAAGAGATTTTTAATAAACAACAAAAATGCTTTTAAAGACCATGCATGTAACTGCAAAAGCACTGCTTGCATCATTAAAGTTTCTTACAAAATTGCTAAAAAAAAAAAAAAAAAAAAAAAAAAAATCACTAGGAGAAATTTTAGTACTACCTGCAGCTACTGACATGGTAGCTACAATGCTTGGCGAATCATATGCTGATCAACTTAGAATGATTCCACTTGCAGTTAATACGATGGAAGAAGAATTTCCAATATATCTGAAGTATCTTTGTGATCAATTAATAGCAAAGTAAAAGCAATAAATTTGCTATGTAAAAGTAAATAACTGTAACATGTTTCCCAATTTTTAAATTACCTGTCCTGCAGATGAAATAGAAGAAGGTAAAATTCTTATTAATACTTACTTGAACAGTCTATAGAAGCAATACTTGTTTTACTTTAAAAAGATTGCGACATGTTGAAACATGAATCCATAAGAAACCTTGTGACCGAAAAATATAAGGTGTGTATGTGTGATTATGGCAAAGCCTCGAGGGCTATCTGCCTAAGGGGAGGGATGCCTTTCGTGGAGGACTTTCTAAGGGAAACTGGCTCGTATACACGTTACACATGGGGAAAACCATGAAAACGCCCATGCAGCCAGCCCGTTCGCGGGATTCGAACCTCGGACCGAACTACCAGTGTTCAGCGACATTACCGCTCGGCCGCTGGTGGGCCCCCGAAAAATATAAGATTTTGGCCTTCTGACAGTACAGCAAGAAATGATAATTGACTTATTTTGTGGCAGCACATTAAAGCAAATATTTCAAGAAGGGTATTCATTTCTTTTTTTTTGGTGGCTATATGTAAGCAAATATTTTCCCAGTTTAACAAACAAAGCTTTAGAAATTTTATTGCCACTTGTAACATCTTACTTATGTGAAAGTGATTTTTCTGCAGTAGCCGTTTTCAAGAAGAAGCACTAATCTTGTTCAGTGATTGAAAGGGACCTTATAACAGTGATATCTTTAATGATATCACAGTTTGAGAAAATATGTGCTGAAATAACAACCTAACAATTACATAAAAATATCATTATGTTATATTAATTAGGTATTCTATTTTTTGTAAGATTTATATTTATTATATTTAAAATTATTATTATTTATATATTTTTTATGTACATTTATACATAACATGGTATATTATTTTATAGCTCATCAAATAAACTACAGTATCAGGTGAGTATTTTTGAAATTTACTATGAAAATTGAGAGGGGCACAACAATATTTTTTATAAAAAAGAGCATGGAGGTACAGAAAAGTGGAAACTACTGGGTTAAAATGATAACATGAACTACATGATTCATAAAAAATGCTTGGCTGCTGCCGTCCTAGAGAGATAAGACAGACCTGCTGGTCAGAAGAGACCTCAATGCCTGACAATGGCATGGCTGGTAAGCGCTGAAAGTTAGTATGTTTTGTTTGCCTGATCCAGTTAGTCACATGGCTTCTCGTAGTTATAACCTCGTTAATATACTGTAAGGTTCCAATCTGAATTATTTTAAGTCTCATCAACCGTAAAGGATAAAGTTTACATAAATTTTTACATTTTTATGTCATATCTTATGCACACAGGAAGGATTAATGGTGGTGGTCTAAACTAGTGAAGTTTGAAGACCACTGACTGTTCCATTATTACCCATATTTCACTGCATTAGATTAACTTAACACTTAAAGAAACTGTAACACACTTCCATACGACTTTTTGTTCCATCCAACTGCTAACTAAAAAAATCATAACTAAAGTAAAAATTTTAAATAAAACTGTTCATTGACTTGGAAGTAAACTAAAAAGCAATGGCAGAAATTCTAAAACAGAGGCTAAAAAACTTAACAACTTGAAGCTTGTTTATATTATAACTAATTTACATTCTGATAAACAATAGTTATAGTAAAGTCTACTTAACAAGATAACAGAGTTAATTAATATAAAATCTTACAACAAAAAGTTGATTTTATAGTTTTTTTTTTTTTTAAAGAAAGGATTTGGTAAACTAATGTAATTGAAATGAAATTGATTTAATATAAAAGCAAAAACAATACATGAAAAATACACTTGTTTCCATACATAAAAATTTATATCTGATTATACTGATTTCATATCAGTATAATCAGATATAAATAAATTAGCACTTAAAAAATTATGCACATTTTTGGATATATTTGTGACTCAGAATTTAAAACTAGTTTCAGTTTTGCATTATTAATTTCAATTTTAGGTATAGTTTAATCACTTCATATAGCAGCTGAAGGGAACATTTAAACATTCAATATTAGTACTTATTAGCATCTAACATAAGAATTCAATAAGCAAATAAATTTTAAATAAAATAAAATTTTCATATATTCAGTCAAACTAAGCACCATTTAAAATTTATGATGCATCTCACAGTCTAAAAAATAATAATTATGTAAGTTGTCTTCCATAAAATTAACCAGTTATTTAGCACATAAAATGGCTCTTTTATGCCCAGGGTATGTCCTGATTAAGAATTTTAATACTTGTGTAATTGTATTTTTCTCTACCCTTCGCCCTGAAAAAATTCTTATCAAGCTGTTGAACGATGGCTATAAGAAAAGTTTAATTCTGAACAAAATTAGCATCTATGAATTATCCAGATCAGCTGAATACGATATATAGGAAGACAGTATAAAAAATCTGATAAAACATTTTCATTTACTCAGCCACTTTATATTAACATGCCACAGAAAACAGCTATAGACAGGATTTACTTCTACGAGAGCAAGGAATTTTATGCAAGGTAGTTGTTTCTTCCATTAATCAAATTTGTTATGTTAGTTCCATACTTTGAAATCACGGTTCCTTAGTGCATAATACAACATAACATATGTAAGTCAACTTTACTTTCCTTCAACATTCAACTAAAACAAGTTTTAGTACCAACTCCAGCTTCATGACAATCAGCATAGCCAAGAAAATATAACTTACACACAATTATGATTTCAAATTAAAATTTGTGCATTTTTCACCATCTACGACTACTTATTAAACGGTAAAATCTTTTCCCCAGATTAGAATAAAAATAAGTGACAATACTAATTAATCATCCAATTTCAAATACCTGAAATCAGTTTTATCTGTGGCTTAACCCCTTGGGTACGGATTTATTTGAGAAAATTTTTGCATGTGGAAGGGATATAATTTTTAGTTGTGATTCATCAATAGCTACTTCACTTTAGGAGTATAAATGTAACAAAATTTAGCATTTAGGTAATCCACTATACTTCTTTCTTATTCTGTCATTTTTATTTTCCTCTTCATTATCCGTAAAATGTACAAAGCTTGAAATATCAAAAGCCTATTGCGTGCCATAGTGCTAGCAAAAATTGGAGTACTTATTGCATATCGTTTTGACCAATACATATGCATTTTTGGCTTCTTCATGTGCGACATCAAGATGCATAATGCAATATAAGCTTTCATTTCATCAGAACTTACAGGAAACCACCTTTTTATTATTATTATTTTTTTTATACAACCTTCTTTTTCTATCCCTCGTCTGGCATATCTATTCGTGTCTTCTACTATAGTGTCCCAAAAATCTTCATTCAAGACTTCTTTCAAAACATCTAAAGGCGTAGGATTACTACCCAGTCTACACAGGCATTAATTCCAGATATTTCTGAAAAACTTTTTATATCGGCTACATTTTCTTCTTCTTCCCAAATCCATTCCTCCGATACCGGTTCACAAGAAGATTCACTATCACTGCTCAATAGACGTCTTGTGCGTCTTCGAAACCTTGATATTATATTACAATTGTCATCATTTTCTAGTTCAATATCGTCTTCATCACCTTCGCTTTGTATTTCATGGTAACTGTCAATTTCAGGATCACTAAACAATTCTTCTTTAGATTTCTCAAACTCACTTTCGCTATCACTATTATAAAATATATTCCTTGTTTTTGACTTAATGGGGCAGTGTATCGCTAATAATGTTCACCGAAATACTGTAATTGCTTCTTCTATTATGACTGATACAAGCTACAATGAAATGAACAGAATTGTGCCTAACCTCAAATTTAGACATGTAATCCGCTCCTAGGGAAAACAAGTGAATGTCGTCTCTCAGACATCAAATGCATCCAAGAGTTTAATTTTTGGTTTGACGTCTTAGACACGTCAACCGCTCCTAGGGGAAAAAAAGTGAATGACGTGTCTCAGACGTCAAATGTACCCAAGGGGTTAATACCTTAATTTACTATAGCTATTACTATATATATATATATATATATATATAAATAAAAAAATAATTTACCTCTATGATATCTGCCAGAGAAAAACTCTTTATATTTATTCAGACACTTTTATTCTCTTAGCAAATTGGATAAATATATATGAAGCCTAGGGCAGCTAGAATGTGATAAAATTAAAAAATTAGAACACATTTGTCAAATTTCACAGCACTATACATTTATGTAATGTTAAAGCATAAAATCACATCACATACACTAAAAATACAAAATATTGGGGGCAGGGAAAGGGCAGAAGCAGAATAAATGTAGATTTCATGCTCAGGTACTTACAAAGAAATGATTTGAAAATACTATTACCGCTTCTTTTTTCGTCCACAACAGCTAAAGAGTTTTACTACAATTGATTGATGACAACATAAATTTTTCTTTTAAAATTAAAAAACCACTTATTTGACAGTCAAAAAATTAACAGAATAAATGAATCCCAAAACATGTCAACTGCAGTTCACCTTTATTTCCATTCTTGAGAGGGATATGGTTTTATTAAAATGCAAATAAACATATATACCAGAATTTCAATAATCTTAATTAGATAAGTCAAATTATATATTAAAGTTCTTTTTTGGTGTTCAAAAACAATATATTTTACATTGCCGATTAGCTGGTGAAATAGAAAAACACAATAAAAAATAAATTGTAAACACTGATTTATTAACCCACACACTGATACATTAATCTTTGATCGCTGAACTTTCAGAAAATTTACACGAGTCCAGTTGGCAACAGTATTTAATTCCCACATTTTTTTTTTAAATGAGGGGGAAAAAATGCAATTTTTTGAACAAAGTTTATACTATTACTATCATTATACAATAATGAATGATGCTTTTAGTGAGAAACTCATTTTAATGTACCTATTTTTATGTAATTTATATGAAAAAATTTATTGCATGACAAAATTTATGATGGTTTCATAATAACCTATTTTTCCTGACATTTTAGTATTCTAGGATGTTGCTCAAGTTTGTATTTTGATCATCATCTAAGAACTGTCCAGTCTATTACTTAACATAAATGTCTAGTGTGCAAGTATTGTACTAGAATAATGAAAATCCAAAGATATATTAAAAGAGGGTATTTAAATACAGAATTGTGTCTTTCTGAATATAACCTGATTTGTGTATAAGCAGAGACGTGAGATTTTGTTAGAAAATTTAGAAAAAAACTGAAAAGTCATATCAATTGAATTTAAAATTACCCTATAAACACAACTATATATTGGCAAAAATTTGAATAACTGATTGTTTCACTTATCAAATGAGCAGAAGATGAAGGCTAGTTCTCAGAGCATCCAAATAAATATGCATCAACAGTGCTATGGATGGTTAATGTCGACAAAAATAATGATGAAATGGCAAGCATTATAATTTATCTGGACTTGCCTGTAACAGAAACAGAATTCTGAGAACTGCCAAAAAATTCTGAATGCAATGTCAATACTAAGAAGTTTGATTAACACACATTAAGATTGAAGAAATCATTTTATTGTTTTAATAAACAGTATTTTTTGAATTATTATTTTAGTCATTATCTGAAAGTTGTTTTGTATTCGAATATAAACCGATACCCCCAAACATTAACAGAAAAAAAAAGGTATTAAAACTTTTTGACTTGCGCATACAAATACATACATAGTATACAAATACATACATAGTATTTGTTAATGCAAAATTATTTAAGCTACGGCTACACTGCTAACAGTGAAAGAAATGTTTTCGAAATTTTGTACCAGTGCATCAAATTATGAAATAAATTAGAACACGGAAAAACGTTAGAGCTCATGCTCTTTGCTGAAATCGTAAGTGGACATCATAAGCATCTGAAACTTGAATCAAAAGCATTAAATTTAAAAAAAAAAAAAAAAAAAAGAGTACTGCAAACACATTATAGGCCAGAGTTGGCCAAGCTTCATGTCAGTAAGAGCCGTATGTATGAATTCAGGAATGTTCGAGAGCCGCATCTAGATTTTCTAAAAGCCACAAGTTCATATTTACATCATTATAGAAATAGTGGAGGAGATTTTAAATATAAAGAAATCTCTGATAACTTTGTAAAATGAGTCTAAACTAATTAATTACTTCCTTTCGGACACTGAATAGTTTTAGTTTACCATATTTCATACATATATTTTATATCCATGAGTCGCGCAAATTGCCTGCTAGAGCCGTATCAGGCTCGCGAGCCAGCGAATTTTTTAAATCATTTTCAAACTACAGGAAAGGCCATATTAATTTAATATGTATTTATTAAGGCATAACAAATTTTAACAACAGGATAATGTGATTAAAAGCTACTACTACAATTAGTATGACTTATTCTTAAAGAAATTATTTAAAAAGTAGAGTAAAAAAAAATTCTCATACATCTTCATATACCAGAAAGAAAAGAAGTGATCTTTTTGGTACGCAATGTTTATAAGAAATTATCCACACAACTGCATAAATGTACTTGCGAGAAAGTTTGAATATTACACATTATGAGAAATACAGATATACAAAAATACAATCGAACTTGCGCATTACAGGAAGCACGAAGGGACAACGATGTTTGCTCATTATAACCAAGTGCTTATAAAAAATGGGTTCATGAAAAAAATTATAAAAATTCATACATACTACTTTAATATATATATTTGTTTCATTTATTTTTGTAAAGCAGGGTTTTTTAAACTGTGGGTCGCCAAAAGTTTTAGGAGTTTTGATATTTCTTTAACTTATTATGATAATTTTACAATTACCAAATATTTTTACACAATGTATCTAAAAATAGATAAAGCTAATACAATACAGACAAAGAAAGAAAAAAAAAAAAAAAACTTTTTGATGCATTCTTTTTATAATATAAACGTTCATTTCCCTTGTTTTGAACGTGCCGCTGTCATTTCGTCTGTTACTTATTTAAAATTCTCACACTGTTCTATGACTTAAAATTAGAAATTAAAGTTAATGACCTAAAACTAGTAATAGTATATTGCAGTACAAGAGTGGTGAAAAAATTGACAGTTTCACTCATGCGTTTGTCAGACTTGTGCAATACTTATGCAAAATTTTTGTAAATATTACGGGGTCCGAGAGGTGAAAAATTCTCGGTTATAAAAAGGGGTTGCGACTGAAAAAAGTTTAAGAAACGCAGCTGTACAGTACAAAAGAAGTTAGTTAATTTGCTTTGAACTGTCTTATTGCCTCTTTCTTGTGTTTGTTATCTGCATCTCTGGCATAAAAAATTCTGTGCTCTCAAAAGTCATTAAGTATGATGGGGGTAGTTCAGCTTGAAATTCTTCTAACTAGTTGTTATCATTGTTGCTTTCATTACATTTTCTTCTGCTTCAGCTCAAATTTTAGCTACAATATCCTTAGGAGTGATAAATTGGTGTAAATAGATACATAATTTTCTCTACCTTATTTCCAAGTCGTCTATTTTCTCAGTGATTTGGCTCTCTTGAGAAATGTCCAACCCAGCCTTATGAAAGCAACTGGTAATGCATGTTAATGTAATGTTTTCCCATGCATCATTCATTAACATTCACATTAGCATTTCAAGTTGTTTTTACGTTATCTCTTCCATCAAGAAACATCAAAATCAAGTGTTAATGAAAATTTGACTTAAAACTTATGATGAACCCTCAGTACATAGGCTGGAAACGTTTGTAGAATGGTAAAAATTTGACTTAAAACTTATGATGAACCCTCAGTACATAGGCTGGAAACGTTTGTAGAATGGTAAAAATTCAATCCTGATATTTGTAAGTCCAGTGATTTCAGGATGCTCTTTACAATTATGAATTAAAAGAATTTACGCTTTTCTTTCCTCAGTTGTCTCTCCCATTTTGAAGTTAATTCCATGAAAACGTCCAAAGTCTTGCTGCTTTCTTGCTGTGGTCATAATCAACAGGAAGCTTTTTTTTTAAACATCTAGAGGTTTTTGGACTTGCCAAGAGTTTCTTCTTGTTAGTGCAAGACATATTAGAATACACTTAAAGCTGTCAATTGATTTTTGGAGAGCTGGCCTCTGATGCACTTTTCCACCCTTAGTCTGCTGTGGGGTTTAGACTGAACAAAATGCGCATTTCAGAAGCATTATAAATGTAATTTTTTATGTAGCCTTCTCCGATGAGTCGCCACTTTTCACTCATCCATCTCATGATATCCACCATGTTTGCAAACTTTGCTTCACTATAAATTTTTCCAAAGGCCTATGTCTATTCTTGAATCGATCAAGCCAGCCATTCGAACATACAAATCTAGACTAGCCAAATTGTTCTCAAACATTTACACTCATTATTTTCTCGAATCCAGCCACTAATTTTTTCTTGTACTTTAATAGTGCTGAAATTGTAAGAAGATAAATCATACTTTTTCCAAATTTTCGAATTTTTTATGCCATCCTTTAACTCCTGTAAAATCCTTACGCTTTTGTCAACTGATAAAATTGTATGTTTCAACATTGCAAGATAAAATTTGAAAAGTGTACTTTATGAAAGTAGATCAGAGATGCCACTCCTATGCAGAGCAAATTTTCATAGTCTCCTCAAAGGCTGTTATGGGTTGTCTCCACATGTGCACTCTTCAATAGAAATTTTATGAATCATAAAAATATTACTCACTATAACCAGGGTATGCTCATTAATATTGAGTTATGCTCACATAGACTTAACAGTGTAACAATGAAGTATTTCTGACTTGGTAAATAAGGGACTGTTATGTTATAAGCGAGTTGTACTCTATTATAATATAACAGATACTTGTTAATTAAAAACACAAGAATAACTTATCCAGAGTATCCTGAATTTCAGAAATGTTACTGAAAATATCAATAAATATTCTTCATAGGATTGCCACAGCTTTTGCTTAAATTAATGAAAGGTTGGGTTTAAATAAGAATTTAGTAGATTTAAAAAGCATATAACATTAATCCACTATATATTCTGATTGCAGTTATTACTTTTCTTTTTTCCTTATATATCATACTTTGTTACATGTTCATTGTTGGCATGTTGCTACTGTCAATTTAAAATTTCTAAATGACACAATGAGAAATTGAAAGGAAAAAATACACAAGAAATAGGAATATGCCAGTAATTACGTTTTGGTAAATATT